AGATAGAGTTTAGGGAATCTTCAGCTTCTTCCTGAACATGCAATTACACCTGTGACTTCTTTAATTCCAAGAAATATGATTTCCCAAGGATATTCAATTCTTCATATTTCTTTTTAAGCTTTTTGATAAAATTTTTTTCTTTTAAAGTTTTGATGAAATTTTTGTTTGCCCCAAGTTATTCACCGCCTCAAACAGCTATGATGTTGAACAACTGCCTCTCTTTGTTTTCTAAGTTATCTCAGGAAAAGGCTTTATGCACTGGGCAAGCTCTTTGACACAGACAGATTTGTAAGAGGGGCCTTCCAGTGAACTACCAAAGTAGTCAAATAATAATTCTGATAACGTATCTATGAAACTGACCCCCCAGTGGCTGTCAGCTGCTGGTTTGCAAGATTACCAGGCATATGAGAAGTGGGGACGAGAATAGAGTAAGTTAAAATGTCACAAAGATCACTGTTCTTATGAACATTCAGCTGTTTTTCTTGAAAAATATTCCCTGGATTGCTGTAAGCCTTTGGTTAATTCCATAGCTCTAAAAAGTTGCTTCTGACAATAAGGACAGTTTTCTCATTGCTTTTGACAGCGAGAAAAATTTCTGGATGCCCTTATTCCACCATTTTTGCTGACATCATTCCAGATAACTTATAGTTTTGGGACTGTATGCCCTCGGGCAAAAGAAAAAAGCATTCTAAACATATACTGAACTTTGGTTAATGGACTACTTTTACAGAGGCATCACATCATTAGCAATTCTGAAACTAATTTCTGTGTATTCTCGAGTTGAGAAAACAAGTAAATATATTGTGAAAGGCTCCCAGTGGTCAAATTAAGGACAATTTGAGTATCAAAATAAATAAGGGACTTCTATTTCTGACCATTACATAACTGAAACCAGATTTGCCCTTCTACATTAAGCAACTAGAAAACTTAATGAAATTTATAAAACAAAGGTTTTGGGATAATGGATAAAAAGCTGTACAGAATATTAACACCCTAGAGGAAAAAAACAAATGAGTTGAGTGCTTCAACTCACTACCTGCTAGTTCAGAGTTTAGATAAGCTAATGTGACTAGATTGTGGGAGGAAAAATACAGAAGAGGAAGACGCACAGAAAAGGTTCCTAGATGTACAGAAGGAAGGGTTCCTTCAAGTTGATCATATAAGACTGATCTGTGCAATGTGTGTAAAGAATCTACCAAGGCGAGGGGGAGAAATCTCTAGAAAGTAGTGGAACAATACCAATAACTTATAGTCTCAGGAATAGTTTGTGTTTTCACCAGACACAACAGAAAGATTTCCTTACAAAGCATAAGATAGTGATTCAGTAATGGGGCCAAATGAGCCCTAAACTAAGGTTTCCCAACCTTAGCATTGTTGACATTTTGACCTGGATAATTCGTTGTTGTATATACTATAGAATATTTAGCAGCATTCCTGGCCTATTATCAGCAAAAACAATAACAATTATAGGGTTAAACATAGAAGCAAAATGTAGTATGTAAATAACAGAACAAAGGCTGGGAGAAAAAAGATTAAAATGTACTGTCCTGCCAGTGTGGCTCATTAGTTGAATGTCAACCTATAAACCAGGAAGTCATGGTTCAATTCCTGGTCAGGGCACATGCCTGGCTTTTAGGCTTGATCCCCAATCAATGATTCTCTCTCATCATTTATGTTTCTATCTCTCCCTCTCCCTTCTTTCTCTGAAATCAATTTAAAAAAATGTGTACTGTAGGTTAGACTGTGATAAATATGTATATTGTAAACCTTATAAGCCAATATTAGACACAACAAATTAAAAAATACCCAATAAAAATAGAGGTATCCATGAAATCACAATGAAATAAATTTAATAACTGAAGTTCTTCCTTAATATAAAAAACCAGCTAGTAATTGTAGAAATAAGAAACCTTTTCTTTTTAATTACCATTTACAATTACTCTAGCAGTAATCATTTCAGTAAGAATTATGGCTGAATGGTATAACTAGTCAGTGAAAGTTTTAGAATAGTCTATAATCTGAAAGTATCCCTAAAAATAATTATTCATTTCAAAGTGGAAAATACTAACTTTCCAGTGGGGAAATCTCATAGACATTATCTGAAACAAGAAAATTAACATCAACAGTATTAGGTCACATCAACATCACCTGCCTCTTAATACACACTGGGATAAATACAACATCCCTCCTGTGATATTCCTGCCCAAAGTGCCTAACTTGAATTTAATAATGGGGACATCAGACAAACCCAAATAAAGGGACAATGCTCAATACTTCTGAAAAATGTCAATGTCATAAAATACTAAAATAGACTCAGAAACTACTATCAACTGAATATAAGGTATGATGTTGGCTTTTCAGATGTAAAAAGACATGGGGACAATTGGAAAAATCTGAGCATTTGGTAACTGGATTGTGGTATTACAAGAGAATAGAGAATGACCTTGTTTATAAAGAGAATATAAAGGGGGGAGGTGAGAGAAGGAAAAAAGAAAAATAAAATGGGAAGAGAAAAGGATGAGAACAAGAAAGCAGTTGGAGAGAGAGAAAGAATGGAAGACAGAGAGGGGGATAAATAGAAGAGGAGGAGGAAAAGGAGAAAGATGAAAGCTGCATGTAAAGAAAATGCAGTAAAATGTTAATGCAGTAAATGTTTATGGAATTTGGGTGCAGGACAGGGTGTGGTAAAGAACTCGGCCTTGCCAAAGACAATAATTCAAGAAGGTGAAGGCAATCTATGTCGGACCTGATTGGACTGTCTTTATTTAGAGTAGGAGCTGGCTACACTGAAAAAGACAAACCATGTGATTTACCATAGGGGCTTGGGTCATGTAGTATCAGTCCCTCTGGAACAATCATGTGGGCAACCAATCAATCATCCCTAAATATTGAAGGCACAGTAAAAATTCTGGATACAAAACCTTGAGAAAGCTCCTCAGACTAGCAATCTGCATTTGATTCCTGAATGATATGTCCAGAGGACAAGAGAAGCTTTGCATTTAGAACCCTCATAGATATTGCTTATACATCTCTTCCTATGGCTGTTTATAAGTTGTGATAAATAAACTCTGTGAATGTAATAGGTTTCAATGAGCTCTGGAAATTTTTCTAGCGAATTATGGAACCTCAGTGTATGGGGAACCTTCCACCCATTCCCCTCCCACACACCACCTCCTAACCTGCAACTGGTGTCGGAAGTTAAGAGTAGTTTTGTGTAGGCTCTTCTAACTTTGTAGTTGGTCCCTAACTCCTTGCAATTGGGGTAAAGTCTTAAGCAGACTTGGCAGTCTGGAAAATAGTGCTCTCAACTTCGTAGCTTGGCTAAATCTGGATAGGCATAGAGACATTTTTCTTTCACTTTTTTCTGTAATAAATTTTCATAATTGAAATTAATTTCAATCTAACATAACTAAAATTATATCAAAATAAAATTTGAAATAAAAATTTTTGCATTCAACACAAAATAATTTTCTTTCCACACAGTATCTTGAATCCCATTGCTCAAATTATCTAAATTTTTAAGCTCATGGAAAATGTAGAAATGACTCTCCAGAGCTTGAGAATTCCTGATAACCAGAAGGCTTTCCCTGCCATTAACTTTTGAAGAGATTTTATTATTTATACATATATATTACAGACACACACATATATTTTTATTGATTTCAGAGAGGAAGGGAGGGGGGAGAGATAGAAACATCAATGATGAAAATCATTGGTTGGCTGCTTCCTGCACGCCCCCTACTGGATGTGCCTGCATTTTACTGAAACACAGGATGTGCCTTGTCCACGAATTGAATCATGTCCTCCTGGTTCATAGGTTGATGCTCAACCACTGAACAATGCCAGTTGGGCTTGAAGGAATTTTTATAATAAATATATTTTATTGATTTTATACAGAGAGGAAGGGAGAGAGATAGAGAGTTAGAAACATCGATGAGAGAGAGTCCTCGATCAGCTGCCTCTTGCACACCCCCCACTGGGGATATGCCCGCAACCAAGGTACATGCCCTTGACCGGAATCGAACCCGGGACCCTTCAGTCCCCAAGCCGACGCTCTATCCATTGAGCCAAACCAGTCCCGGCTTGAAGAAATTTTTAAAATCTTATTATTCTCTTAAGAGCACATGGCCACGTAATTAGGTGTCATACATTTTGAATTTAAAGAAATATTTATATGCAGTGACAAAGAAAAGTAATTTTTGGTTGTGTTGCTACATTTAAACAATATGTTACCTAAATAATTGAAATGTTCAGAAATCTACAATTGTCATGGGAAACTAAAATAGTCAAAAAGTACAAGATCATTACTAAATAAAACTATAATAAATATTAATATTTTTTTGTATAATTACCTTTATACCCCAAATAAATATTACTCTTTTTTTTTTTTTACTGCTATTAGAGAGAGAGAGAAACATCAATTTGTTGTTCCATCTATTCATGTATTCATTGGTTGATTATTTTATGACCACGGACTGAACCCATAACCTTGGTTGTACTGGGAAGATGCTCTAACCAATTGAGTTACCCATCCAGGCCAAACATTACTACCTTAATCTTAGTTTTATTAACAAGAATAACTTTTAATAAAGGTTATCTACTTTAAATAGCTACAATTTCCTCATAATTTTCAATTATTATTTTAAATATATCTCAACTTTTATTCTCAAGGCAAAGAAACACAGACCTAATCCAGTGAAATATACTTCATGATAAGCACAAATGAGGAAATCTGAGTAATAATCTCAAACTTATTTTATAAAGGGAATATTCTGGGCATATTTTTAAAACCAACTTATGTAGCTGATTTGTGGAAGATTTATGTAAACAAAACTTGAACATACTAAAAAAGAGAAATAAAGACAAGAACAAACTTATTTCTATACCTCCTCCAAACAAACTTATTCAAATACGAGTTTAAATAATAGGTTGGCAAAAAAACAAAAAGAAGGAAAACAATTTTTTAGATGTAAAAGTTCACAAAAAGAGGTACTAATTAATCAATCATCAAACGTAATTTTTTTCCCCTGAAACACAGCAATTTTAGATTGCTGCTCTTTTCGCCGCCTGCTTGCTTCCCATGAAGGATGAAGAGGCAGCTGTGTCTGCTGTTTAGTATTTTGTGGTCCTCTTGGTGCATTCTTAATAAACTGATTTTTGAGTTGAGAATCGTCTTGCTGAAAACCTGGGAGGAGGAATAAAAAATAATGAAAATTAAGTATATACCCAAACAACATGCAAAAGAAACATATTTTATCTTCTCAAATCAGTACTGAAGAAGAAATTTAATTTTACTGAAATGGAATACCTCATTCTAAACCCAAGTCCAATAGGGAACAGTCCGAAGTTGAAATATACAGAACATCAGTGTCAATGTTGGGACACATGCTTCCTAATCCTTGCAAGTAGATGTGTAGTGTATTGCTTGCCTCTTAATATGTGCTGTGATATTTTAAGAAATGTCATTTGCTTATGAAATTTGTGTGTGAAGCAGATGTAGCCAGAATGCACACGTCTTTACTAAGATACTGAATCTGACAATGTTGACAGATTTATTTTTAAAAGGCTTATTACCACAAGGTAAATTACTAAATCTACTTTAATATAAGGCAAAGTTTTGTTTTAATCATAAAGCTACCAAAAGATGAGGTTGCCAACTTATATTCTAGTCCTTATGGCATCTTATATTATGAGGCACTTGAATTACATTACTTTGAACTACTGTTTGGGAGAGATATACTAGATTGAAAATATCTGAATCAATGCATGTTTATAGAATCAGAAATAAATGGGGAGGGGGGAGGAAGGGAGACAAAAAAAAGAAACAGAGAGGCAAAAAGTTTAATATAGATGTATTAAGCATCCTATATTAGGACACATAATTTCACCACTTCAATTTAGACATCATTATCAAAAGCCTTCTAAAGATCTCCTTAAAAAGCAATGGCATAATCTACATATATAAAAGCATAAGTGACCATTCGACCATTAACTATGATGCACACTGACCACCAGGGGGCAGACACTCTGGTAGTTTAGCTTGCGGCTTGGGTCCCGCTGATCAGGAGTAGGCGAGACAGGCCGGACATGCCCTGGAGCTCTCCTGCGGTCCCTCCCCAGCCCCAATTGTGCACTGATGGGGTCCCATGGCCTGGCCTGTGCCCTCTTGCAATCCAAGACCAATCAGGGGATGTCAAAGAGCTGGTTTCGGCCCAATCCTCACAGGCCAGGCCAAGGGACCCCACCAGTGCACAAATCCATGCACTAGGTCTCTAGTGTTTTACAAATAAGTGCATACAGTTTCTAAAATATGTACACGGATTCATATTTCATACAAATCATCATGTGCTCCAGAAATTTTTAATACTCAGAGTGGCTTTAGGGATGAAGAATGAAGTTTAAATGTTAAGTGAAACTGTTTCATGATAACTGATATTTGAATGAGACAGTATTTTTAAACTAATAACATATTTTTATAATTATGCAAAATAGATTTGCATGTGTGAGTAAATATTATAAATTAAAAAGTTAAGCAAAAATAAACAAAAAAATCTCTTTTACATAGGTCTCCTCAGGGAAAACATGGGTGTGACTTTAGTTTAGTTACCCTATGTTTGTGAAAATAAAGTAAATAAGCCAGATGGCCTTGTGTTTGCCAAATTTGATCTTCTTTTCCTTTTAGGTGCACAACCATAATGCATTTCCCATCACACAACAGTTAAATGAGACTATGTAACTTGAGTTATAGCCAATGGAAGCTTCTATCTCTCTCCTTTATTTTTTTTGTAGTATATTGCCAAAGAGCCATCAGTAGACTAGTCTTTTACAGTTTCCAACCACTTACCACCCAAACTCCCAAAAACATGAAGCCCACTTTCCAAGTTTTCACTGCTAACCGTTTTACCAATCTTTAGCACATAAATGCTCACTTTGCAGTCTCAGATATCTATTTTCTTACCATCTATCAATGAACTGCTAAGCTAGTTTCAAATTTTTATGTTTTATTAAAAATATTTTTATTGATATTTGATAGGAAGGGAGAGGAAGAGAAAAAGAAACATTAATGTGAGAGCAACATCAATCAGCTGCCTTTTGCATACCCCCTACTAGGGACAGAGCCTGAAACCTGGGCATTTGCTTTGACTGGGAATCAAACTAGTAAATCCTTGGTACACTGGATGATGTTCAACCAATTGAGCCACAGTGGACAAGGCCAGTTTGTTTTTTTTAATGTACAGGTCACTGAACTCGGAGCAATCACGTCCATGAGCTCTGTGGAAAGCACCACCATCATCACTCAATAATCCTGGGCTTTGAGTTGGATGGGCCTTTGGGTTGGCTTTGTTGGGAAGGAGGTCAGTGTGCTCTACGTGTGGGAGGAAAAAAAAAAATGGGCATCTGGTGATAAAAAGGATGGTGATTATGTGATTTATCTGTTCAAGAAATTCCACTTTATTTTTTTTTTCTCCTAGCCACAGAGTCGGTCTGCATTTTTTAACTCCCTTGTGGCTAGATATGGGGTCATGTAATTGAATTTTGGCTAATGAAATGAGAACAGAACTGATTTCTGCCACTTCAGGCCTGGCCCATAATAACCTTCTGCAAAATTTTCCATGTACTTTATTCCCTTCTGTTGGCAAAATGGAGAATATCTGGAAACTGCAAGAGGAAGAATCCAAATGAAACTTTATCAATGAATGACTATGTGAAACATAGCCTCTCTGCTGATTCATGCTTGACTGTGATGTGAGTGAGAAACAAATTTTTATTGTTTTTAAATCAGTGATAGTTTGGAATATACACAGAAGTTAGCCGACCCAAATATATTAAACTTGATTTGTTATAAATTAATTTAAAAACACTTTGAGCTGGCCAGAGTGGCTCAGCTGGTTGAGTGTCATGCTGTACACTTAAAGTTGGCTGGTTTAATTCCTGTTCATAGCCCATACCCGGTTTGTGGGTTAGGTCCCCAGTTGGGTAATATACAGAAGGCAATAGATCAAAATTTCTCTCTCTCTCCCCTTCCTTCCCCTTATATTTCTAAGCATGTCCTCAGGTGAGGATTAAAAAAGAAAAAACAGGCCGAAACCGGTTTGGCTCAGCGGTAGAGCATTGGTCTGCGGACTGAAAGGTCCCAGGTTCGATTCCGGTCAAGAGCATGTACCTTGGTTGCGGGCACATCCCCGGTAGGGGGTGTGCAAGAGGCAGCTGGTCGATGTTTCTCTCTCATCAATATTTCTAGCTCTCTTATTTCTCTCCCTTCCTTTCTGTAAAAAATAAAATAAAATAAATTTTAAAAAAAGAAAAGAAAAAAGAAAAAACACAACAAAAACTTTGATTTTAACTCAACCCAGAAAGTAACATACTTGTTACTGAATGTTTAACAGCACAGTGTTGACTAAGATATAGCTCATATAGTAATTTACTTAAAGAATACATTAATTTAGTTCAAGGTAAGTTAAATACATCCAATATTTCCTAATAAATTTTGTATATATCTTTCCCAATGGCAGGACATAGGGAAATAAAACAACTTAAATCCTACCTAATAATAGATAAACATGTAAATTGACCGTACCTCTGCTATGCCCACAGTCAATCAGAATGAGTATGTAAATTAGAAGGCCAAAGATGGCAGCCGCCCAGGTGCTCCAGGCACAGAGTGGCCAGGCAAGGCAGGTTGTCTGCTATGAGAGGGAGGACGGGGGCGGGGTTTGAAGGGATCTACAGGAGCAGCACTCTGCAGCAGCAAAGACAGGACTGCAGACTCTGGAGTCTGCAGCGAAGACCAAGATGGCAGACTCAGCCAGAGAATGCAATGAAGACCAAGATGGCAGACTCTAGCCTGAGTCTGCAGCAAAAACTAAGAAGGCAGACTCTGGCCAGAGCAAAGGCCTGGGTCCCGGGTGCTGGAAGAAACGGTGCTGAAAGCCAAGGGAAGGAAGGCCTATTGCATGAATCTCTTCGTGCAATGAGTCTCTAATTAATTATAAGATGGTAATTATAAGATGCTCTATTTCCATTTCTGTGGGTACATAATTTATTCAGGCTATTGAGTAATGAGAATTTTTCATCCTTCCACTTTGACAAAGCATTGCTTTATTGCATATGAAGGTCAACCAGTCATTAATAACATACCTGGGATGCTGCTTTTTGGAGCCTGTTCTCTGTAATTTCTAAAAGAAGAAAAACATCATTAGGATTTTTAAAAGATAAGTAAATCTTCTGACTTAACAGAGAGAAATAAATTGATTTCACTTACATGTAAATCTAAAGAACAAAATAAAAGAACTAACACAGATACAGAGAACAGATTGCCAGAGGGGATAGGTTTGGAGACTGAATGAAAAAAATGAAGGGATTAAAAAGTATAGATTGGTAATTTATAAAGCAGTCACAGATATATAAAGTACAGCAGAGGGAATACTATGCATGTTGTCGAGTGAGTACTAGAAATATTGGGAGCAACACTCTGTAAAGCATATGATTGTCTAACCACTATGCTGCACACCTGAAATGAATAATGTTGAATGTAAACTGTAAATGAAAAATAAAATTTAAAAAGAAAAAAATCTTCTAACTTAATATCCTATGGTTACCTTGTGTCTATTTTTGAGGTCTATCTAGACAAAGAATTCAAAAAATCTTTTCACAGGGGGAATGAGTCACATATAACAAAAATTAAGACTTACATTTAGTAGGAAAGAAAAAGGATAGCGATAAGTTATTTTCAAGTGAGAAAAAAAATGTTGACTTTTGAGGCAGGTTTAGGAGATATGTTAATAATTTTCAAGGCTCCAAAGATGATTGTGTGTCTTTTCTATATTCATTATATATATACTAGAGGCCTGGTGCACAAAATTCATGCATGGGGGAGTGGGGTTGTCCTTCAGCCCAGCCTGCACCCTCTACAATCAGGATCTGTTGAGGGATGTCCAACTGCCCATTTAGGCCTAATCCCGGCCAGTTGGACATCCCTCTCACAATCCAGGACCGCTGGTTCCCAACTGCTCACCTGCCTCTGCCTGATTGCTCCTAACCACTTCTGCCTGCCAGCCTGATCACCCCTAACCAAATCCCCTGCCAGCCTGATCGACACCTAATTGTTCCCCGGCCAGCCCGATTGCCCCTAACTGCCCTCCCCTGCCAGTCTGGCCCCCTGTCCTCCCCTTCAGGCTTGACTCCCCCCAACTGCCCCAGTTACCCCTAACAATTTTAATCACCCACAATTGCCCTCCCCTGCAGACCTGGGTCCCCTCCTATTGCCCTCCCTTGCTGGCCTGATCTCTCCTAAATCCCCACACTGCTCTCCCCTGCAGGCCACATGGGGGCAGCCATCTTGTGTCTTGGGATGATGGTCAATTTGCATATTACTTTTTTATTAGATATGACATATCTAATAAAAGAGTAATAAATCAATAATATATATATATATTATTGATTTCAGAAAGGAAAAAAGATAGAAACATCACTGATGAGAGAGAACCAATGATTGGCTGCCTCCTGCATACCCCCTACTTGGGGAGTGTGCGGGGGTCAAGCACACAACCTGGGCAAGTGTCCTTTGACCAGAATCAAACCTGGGACCCTTCAGTTCCCAGGCTGACACTCTATCCATTGAGCCAAACCAGCTAGGGCTTCCATACTCTTAAACTTCTATCAACATCACAGTTTCCTATTGTATTAAAATGATCCCTGACCTCTAAATCAGTGTTTCCCAAAGCGTGGTACGCATACCCCCAGGGGTACGGGAAGAGTTTGGTGGGGATATGCACTGCACCGTGCGTGCTTAGCTGCGCCTAATTATACGTTCTCATGAGTACGAGGGGCACTCAGCGTTATGAAAATTATAGAAGGGGTACACATATGTCAAAAGTTTGGGAAACACTGCTCTAAATATATAGAAAAACAGTTCACTGAAGAAAGCAGCTAATACTGAATAGCTTACCATGTGTAAAGATACCCCTACCTGATTAAAATTACAACTGAAAATAAACTTATTGATTTAAAACAGAACAGCTGTGCAAAAGTGGTATTTAATAGCAGAGATAGAGATAGCAGCATCACCAAACATTAAAAAAAAAAAAAAAAAAAAAAAAAAAAAAAAAGCATTCTGGAGAAACTGTTAAGGCAAGCAGCTATACTGCAATAGAAATACATAATAAAATGATGGGTGCTTACAAGAATGGCCATAGGTTAATAAAAACAAAACAACAACAAAAACCTATCACATTCTTATTCATTAAGTTTTGTTTAAAGAGTGAACTATGTGAGACATTTTCAAAAGTTATTCATCAAGAGATAACTCAAAGTTTCAAAACTTTGGTAATTGAAGGGATAAACTTAAATTAGTTAGAAAAATTATTTGGCTATAACATCTCAATTTTTTATGAAGCTGGATAAATGTGTCATTGACATTTGTGTTTTTGTATATATTATCCTAATATAAAGTAGGAGAGATCCAAGTCACAAGATGTATTTTGTATAAACTAGAATTATGTATGTATTTTGTATAAACTAGTCTCTTCTTTCAGTACTAGAATGTGTAAATATTTAATGTGTAAATATTTAATATTAGAATGTGTAAAAACTAATAGTTATTTCAGAATACCAAAATATAATTACCTTCTAGAGCTTTTAGATCCAGATAAAGAATGGAAAAACACTGATTCAAACTTCCTTGCTTCTGTACTTGGCTTGTTTTTGTCATTTCTTATACTCTCACGGGTTTCAAGTATATCTTCTTCAGGGAACACTTTTTTGGGAGATTTTTGTTCCAAAACGGAAGGACAACTACTTTCTTTCTTTCGTGTCCGTCTGACTTTCCCAATGAAGAAGTCATCTCCACTATCACTATCCTCAGACATGGAAGACTGTTTGTAAAACCTTTCTTCTGTGCTATCATCAAAATACTCCTTCTCTTCTTCATGTGATTCTTCTCCATCACTGTTATCACCAAGTGAACTATCAAAGGCTTTCTTTTCTTGCTTTTGACTTAATGCTTTCATTTTGGGGTCAGCAGGCGTCTTCTGTGATCCAGAGGGAACTACAGGATCCTTGTCAGAAGGCTGTGATGGAGAATTTGGACTATCCACTGTTTTGAGTCCATGTTCCATATTGGCTATTTTTTCTTTTGAACTATTAATTGGTTTCTTTGCTAATATTTTGGCTTCCTTGTCTTTTTGCTCACTGATAATAACACCTTCATGCTGCAACTTAATGGCATTATCATTTAAAGATGAAGTGTCCTTGGAATGATTTTCTTCTGAAGCTTTCGTTGATGACTTAACTTCAGCATCATTTTGTCTTGCATCTTTGAAGTCTTTGACGGCAGCTGCAAGAAAAATAACACACAACTTGTTTCAACATTGAAACAAACAACAAAAATATCAATGTTCAGTACAATATTCCTTATTTAGAAACTCTTGGGCTAATTTATACATTATATGAAATGCAATCAAGCACCTCATAATGACATTTCCATCAATAATGAATGGCATATATGACAGTGGTTACATAAGATTATAATGGAGTGTAGGTGTGTAGGAAGCCATACCATCTAATTGTGTAAGTATCCAGAACAGTGTTTGCATAATTATGAAATTGCATAATGATGCATTTCTCAGAATGTTATTCCTGTCGTTAATAGATGCATGAGTGTATATATAACAAACAGGTCTGAATTTATAAAGAAAGCTACTGACATTTTAGAAACCAAACTTTGAATAAGAAAGCTCAGGAGTATCCATTTAAAACATAAAATGAGAAAAACCCATCATTTTATGCCTTGGAGTGTTGAAGAACAGTAAAAACTTTACTGAATGCAAATAAATAAGACAAAATGATAACTTTAATTTCTATAGGAGTAATGTATAGATATAATTGTAGAGTATTATGAATTGGTTTTCAGACATAAAAAATCTTCTAATCTGTGAAAAAGAATTTAATTCTTTCAATACATTTTAGAGTACACATACTAAATGGAAATCATATGGCTAAATAATAGACACATAAAAATAATAATATGAATTACATCAATAATTAGAAAATCAATAATATTCAATATAATCATGAATATATATTACATACATTCAAATGTTAGAATTTAGAAAAGAATATGAATTAACTTGGGCTACAGACTCATATATCCAACCACCTACTTGATAGATAATTCTTCAGGTATCAGATACCTTCCATATTTTCAAGCCTCTAACCATACATATGGAAATATTTGAAAGAGATATTTGTAACAGAAAAGGTCCTTGAAAGGCAAAAGAACCAAAAACACAAATAAATCAACAGCCATTTATTTAAAATAATATGCATAAGTGCATTAATAAGTACATGGCTTTAATTCATACCTTTCAGTATATCTATTTTTTTCTTCAGAAGAGGGTGCATTGCTAATCTGGCAATTGCTCTTTCAGTCGCAGTAGATTCAGGCTGCAAATTGAAACAATAAAATTCACACTGATAAAAATACTACTGTCCTTGGACAGTTATAATTATTGTGTAATCAATGAATAAATATTTTGACTTCATATTTTAGCTTCATGAATCATGAGAGAATATTTTAGCTTCATGAATCACGAGAGAATAAATTTCTGTTGTTTTAAACCATCTATTTTGTGGCATTTTGTTATAGTAGCCTTAGAGAAACTAATATACTTTGACTGTGACTCTTACCCATCTCTGTTTAACCTTTAAAAAATGTGGACCATTGGGAGATCATTCATTACACACAGTATTAAATCAGTTTTCTGCTTCTTTAATACATTTGTAGGTTTCCTGATGCAACACTGGACTTCTTACCTATTTTATCTACCTTAAAGAGATATGAGAGAATCTAGGAAGAAAGCCTATTGCTAGTATCCTGAGTCACTCAGTGACAAGCTAGGCTGCTGAAGTTTATGGGTCAAACATGCTTGCTTGAACTTTACAGAAAGCATATTAAAGGCTGTAGCACAGAACCCCCAATGAAGGATATAATTTTTCAGGTTGAAAAGGCTCAACACAATATATGAAAACAGTCACATCAGAATATTGACTTTACAAGCTTTCTGAAGACAAAGCAAACAAACAAAGCAAATCACACATATACGAATAATAATTATATCACACATACTCACATACACAAATTTAGGAATCAGGATCAGAGGTCAAAAGAAAATAAAGCAATGCTTCTAAATTTTTGCAGGAAAATCATTTTCAAACTAGGTAAGAATAAAAATATGTTGAGACATTCAAGGTTTAAAAAAGTTCACATCCCTTGAATCATTCTCCCAAGAAGTAGTCAATGCCTCACCCCTGATATGGAGGATATAGCAAATGAGGAAGGCATGGGACGTAAGAAAGAAGAGATCCAGGAAAAGAAATGCCCACTATAGTGACAGATTTAGAATTAGAATACATGGTATATTAAATATTTTTAGAGGAGATTTCAGTAACTATTGAGGGGTTTGGTCCTATGCTGGAGAGAAGACAGAAAACTAACAAAACAAACATAACAATAATAAACTACAGGAAAAAAAATATTATGGAAAAGGAAAAGTAATCACTCACTACATGACATAGTTAAAATAACATAATCACAAAATGCTCTCATTTAACTTAAATTTATATATAATCCTACTAGGTGTATCAGTTAATAATAGTGGATTTTATAATGAAAGAAAACACGGCAATTCCAAGAGAGATATCAAAAATGCTTTATTCAAAATAATGTCCATTGCTAACTACATGTCTCCCTATCTTTCAGGAAATTTGTGGATACTGTCCCAATAGAACTCTTCTTGTTTTGAGGCATATCATTCAGAGACCCAATTTTCTACTTCTCCGTATGTTTTGAAGTGCTGCTCAGAAAGTGATCAGAACAAGTGATAATCTGAAAGAGCAAGGATCCTTGCAGATTTAACAGATCACAATGGATTAGGGTGGGCCTTAAATCTAATATGACTGGTATCTCTTAAGGACATTTGGTTGCAGAGGCACAGGAGACAGAAAATGAGGAAAGAAGGCTGAGGCAGAGATTGAATTAAATTGCCACAAGCCGACGAAACCGGTTTGGCTCAGTGGATAGAGCGTTGGCCTGATGACTGAAGGGTCCCAGGTTTGATTCCGGTCAAGAGAATGTACCTTGGTTGCGGGCACATCCCCTACTGGGGATGTGCAAGAGGCAGCTGATTGATGATTCTCTCTCATCGATGTTTCTAGCTCTCTATCCCTCTCTCTCTTCCTCTCTGTAAAAAAAAATCAATGAAATATATTTAAAAAAATAAATAAATAAATTGCCACAAGCTGAGGAAGGCCTAGGAACACTAGAGGTTGGGAGCAGCAAAGAAGGGTTCTTTCCTAGGACCCATTGCTTGTAAACGATCGGAAATTGTTTGCTGAGCAAGGTTTAATCTTTCTGCAAGTTGTTTTTGAGTTTGACATGCATCTTCATCCAATAATGCTTGTAATTTTTGGTCTTCAAACTTTTTCGGTTGACCTGGACATTCTTTATCTTTCACAAAGAAATCATCACTTTTAAAGCATTTAAACCAGCATTCACAAGTATCTTGAGATGAAGCATGTTCACCATAAGCTTACTGAAGTATTCAGCCACACTTTTCCTCAAAATAATGAATTAAAACTTCCTGCAAATGCTCTTTTTTGGGGCACAAAATTCAACATTTTTAAGTGTAAACATATCTATGATGTTAACACCTTCAGCAAATTTGACATATGAAGTTTTGAAGCTTGTTGTCAATACAACAAAATTGCATATATATCAACATATGTGTAATTCCATCTATTAAAAAAAAAAAAGTCCGCATTATTAATTGGTACACCTAGAATATAATAAAAGGCTAACATGCAAATTGACCGAACTGCAGAACTACTGGTCTCTATAACATGCACTGACCACCAGGGAGGGGGCAGGTGCTCAATGCAGGAGCTGTCCCTAGTTGTCAGTGCCACTCAGCTGGCTCATAGCTGGAGAGCACAGTGGCAGTGGTTGAAGGTAAGGAGTGAGGGGTCCTGGACGGCAAGAGCAATGTCTGACAGCCGGCTTAGACATTTCCTGAAGGGTCCCTGACTGCGAGAGGGTGCAGGCTGGGCTGAGGGGACCCCTAATGTGCAACCCTCCCCCTCTTCTCCCCCTCCCCCCCTGCTCCAGTGCTTCTAGTCTACATATATTAGAAGAATGGAAAGGTACAGATATGACATGGAGGAGGAACGAGAGAAATCCTTACAGATCACAGCAAGAAGTCAAGAGCTTATGCTTAAAAGTAATCATTTTAAGTTGAAAGTGGGGGAAAACTAATTAAGACCTGTGATTTTCACAAAAAATTCTTGTAGAAGTATTTGACTCTTATATCCGGTGGTAGGCAAGCCGGCCAGTTCTCACCTGTTGCCTATCTTTTAAAATAACATTTTATGGGAACGCAGGCCCATAAATTCATTATACAACCAGCCATATGCACTCCAGGGCCCTTCCCTTCTTTCAGGTTCCACAGGAAAAGAAGACACTGCAGCAACAACTATTTATCTGTAACTGCTTTCTTCAGTATATTTCCTGTAGCAACAAAAAATTTGTTTCAAAGATAATGTCCAACATATGAACATCTGTATTTATAAAATAGGCAAATTTGAAAGTGACTATTCTCATCACATGGATTAATTTCACATGTTTTTAGATAAAAAATTCTGAGAATCCTAATAGATTTTGACTAAATGCATTCACATAGAATTGCTCAAAACATCTACTACTGGCTTTGACAACTTGCTAAAAGCTTTGATAAATTGGGTATTTTTCTTTCCAGAGTTAGCTACAACTTTCCATCTTAGTTATAAAAAGTTTTAGAAGAGCAGTGGTAATACCTGCATGTCTGGTGTTGACTCTAGGTAAATACTGTTTTGTTAAGAATCATTTTATCACCGAGTTCATTTACTGTTATTTCTCTGCCCTGGAAAATATCCTACAGTGACTTAATGATGCAAATTCTGTAAATTCTATGTGTTTTAGAGGCTCTAGAACAGCGCTCACCAACTGGTGGTCTGTGAGGTCCAAAAGGTTGGCGACTGCTGCTCTAGAATAAGTTTTAAACTGTACAATTATGTATTAATTTAATAAATGAAGAAGTTATTCTTATTTATGCCTGATAGGTAATCTTGAAATCAAATCACGACAGTTTAATTGTTAAATAAAATCTTTGGTCTGGCCGAAACCGGTTTGGCTCAGTGGTGGAGCGTAGGTCTGCGGACTGAAGGGTCCCTGGTTCGATTCCGGTCCAGGGCATGTTCATTGGTTGCGGGCACATCCTCGGTAGGGGGTGTGCAAGAGGCAGCTGGTCGATGTTTCTCTCTCATTGACATTTCTAGCTCTCTCTCTTCCCTTCCTCTTTGTAAAAATATCAATAAAATATATTTTTAAAAAAATCTTTGGTCTGTGTTCCCTTTGCAAATTCTTATTAAAATTTATATTTAAACAAGTAAATGAATGGTTTTTAATTGCTTTTTGAAGAATAAAGTTAAAGAAGGGTTTAAAGTATTAATTTCACATTTTTTTTTTAACTTAGGAAAAATAAGTTTATTTAAATGATTACTGAAATTACAAAATTGGTATTTTTAACTAACTTGCTTCAAATAAACAATTTAAGAACTACATGTATCAAAGTCAGGTTTCTGAATTCAGTCTAGTATGAGAAGCTGTTGAGAAAGAAAATTTCTTCCAAATTATCTGAGAACTTTCTCTCACTTTGTGACCCAACTTCAAGTCCCTTTCCCCTTTTGGGAAAGAAATCAAATATAAACATTTTAAAAAAGAGGCTTATGAAGCAAGTGGGCTCAGGCTCACACTGTTGGTTGTGCTTTGGGACTGCTGCAAATTGTTTAAAGCACCAGGCTAAGTGTAGGAGCTCATAAGAATAAGCAGGCAGCCCCTGCCATGAGACTTCCTTTCTCTCTCTCTCTAATTTCTCTCCGGTCCATCCTCCTTCCTCACTTACATCCTCCCTCTTTATATTTACTCATATTTATATTTTCATTTATATAAACATGACTTATTATATGAAAGTATGGTCTTGAAGACAAATACCATCTTTTGAGGTCTATAATCTTGCACTAATTTAAAAAATTAAGACAAATGCACAAAGAACAATTCCAAGGCAGAATGTGATAAACTTCATAGGAGAGACAGAAAATGCTATGGAAGTTTACAAAAAATTTTCAAATAGAGTCATACATCTTAAATTTAAATAAATTTATTTTTCAGTTAAAAGGCTAAGTAGTCTGTGAGCAAATAGTTTTTACACCTGCATGAAAGCACTCACAATATTGTGGGGTATGAAAGGAACCACATGTTTCCTTATTTAAAGTTGACACAATGTTTGCCATGGAAAATTCTCAGGAAACTGTGGTTTAACGCACCTCCAGTTTCTTCCATTTCAAATAAATTAAATAAAAAAGGGAAAACACCTAATTTTTAATGGAAAATTTTTATTTTGGCATAGGGGTATTTATTGTGAGCACAAAGCATTTGGTGTTCAATTTTGAAAACCATTTTGAGAATGTACATATGAATATAAACAACAATCTAAAAATGCAAAAGCTCTCTCTCTCTAATATATTTTTATTGATTTCAGAGAAGAAGGAAGAGGGAGAGATAGAACATCCATGATGAGAATCATGGGCTGACTGCCTCCTGTAAGATCCCAGTGGGGGGATCAAGCCCACAATCGTGGCATATCCCTAACTGGAATCAAACCTGGGACCTTTCCGTTTGCAGGCCGATGCTCTATCCACTGAGCCAAACTGGCCAGGGCTGCTAAATTTCTCTTACATAGAATGTTCATTCCTTTGAAAATATTCCTAAACCTAAAACAAAGTGATTTTAAATGAACTGGTAGAGATAGACTGCTAGTAGCAGTACTTTTAATCGGATTTAATTTCAATTCTGTGTTTTACCTAAAGATATAAATCAACACTTCAATATTTGCATTTACTAAAAAGAAACAGTCCATTCAGATGGATTCAAAGAACGGTGGCAAACTAAGGTTAGAGTTCACATTTAAGGGCACAGGAGACCTTTCTGCATTTGTTGAATTCATAATCCCTATGATACCAGGATTCAAAAATACAGTTTTACACATATGGAAACTTATTCCATCCTTTAGTCCTAAATTTTCGTTCTGTAGGCCAAAAACCGAGAAACCTGGGTTTAGACCTTGGACCTGCCATTTCCTACCATCTGACTATAGAAATATTTTCTACCTTTCTGGGCCCGTGGTCTCATCTGTTAGCTAGGCTTATCATCATCTTCCCTGAGAAAGTTAGCATATATAAAGAACCTAATGAGCCAGGCAACTGGTATTCAAGTTAACAAGTATTACTTTGCTGCCTCTTATCCTATAGTTGTTTACTATAACTGTCCTTTATTTCTACTAGATTACATCATCCTTTAGAAAAGTTGTTGTATATATACACAATAGAACACTAGATGACTGTAAAAAAAAAAAAAAAAAATCTTACCCTTTTCAATGGCATGGACAGACCTGGAGCTTATTTTGCTAAGTGAAATGAGCCAGTCAGAGAAAGACAAATACTATATGATCTCCTTTACATGTGGCATCTAAGAAACAAAATAAACTGGCAAACAAAATAGATCCAGAGGTATGGATACACAGAACAGACTGACAGATCTCTGAGGGGAGGGGGCTGTGGAACGGATAAAATAAAGTGAAGAGATTAGTTACAGAATGTATATGCAGAGCCCATGGACACGACAACAGTGTGATGAAGGCCAGGGGGTGGGGAGGGCTGGGTAGAGGTAGGCAAAGAAGAGCAAGGAGGGGAAGAATGGAGGGCATCTGTAATTGTGTCAATAAAAATATATATTGTCTCTATTCCCTTCAAATCTTCCACAGTGCCAACTGCTATGCACGCAACAGATGTTTTGAATTGAGACGCTCCTGAAATTCTGGCAATAGCTGTCTGGAAATATCAGCGTTACAGTCGCTAAATTCTCTAGCTTTAAACACTTATCACATACATATTAACTGGCTATTTAATCTTTGTACCCCGTTCCCTTGATTTGAAAAATAAAGACATTACTATTATTACACACCCCCCCCCCCACACACACACAAGAATACTTTCTCTATGAGGTCACTATTTTACAGTGTTTTAAGATCAATTAAGATAAGAATGCTGCCAAAACCGGTTTGGCTCAGTGGATAGAGCATCAGCCTGCGGACTGAAAGGTCCCAGGTTCAATATTACAAATCGGTCAAGGGCATATATCTTGGTTGCAGGCACATCCCCGGTAGGGGGTATACAAGAGGCAGCTGATCAATGATTCACTCTCATCGATGTTTCTAACTCTCTATCCCTCTCTCTTCCTCTCTGTAAAAAATCAATAAAGTATATTAAAAAAAAAGAGATAAGATTGCATAAGGAGAAATTGTGCAAACTGTAAGATATTCCACAAAATTAGTTTGTTCTAGTCCATTCTGATGGTCACATAACCTCACATAACAGAGCTCTATGTAACAGACTTATTTTCTATTTGGTCATCTTCCATTGAGCTCCCTTCCTATGGCAAATCTATATATATATATATAAAAGCATAAGCGGCCGACCTGATGCACACTGACAGCCAGGGGGCAGATACTCAAAGCAGGAGCAGAAATAGGCAGGGAAACATGGAACAGATGGATGAACCTTAGAGAGAAGGTGGGAGAGGGGATGGTGGGAAGAAATTAACCAAAGATATTATATGCATACTACAGGCCCAGGAGGGGGTGTCCCTCAGCCCAGCCTGCACTCTCTCCAATCTGGAACCCCTCAAGGGATGTCCAACTGACCATTTAGGCCTCATCCTACCTGGCAATTGGACATCCCTCTCACAATCCAGGACTGCTGGCTCCAAACTGCTTGCCTGCTTGCCTTCCTGATTGCCCCTAACCATTTCTGCCTACCAGCCTGATCACACCCTAACCACTCCCCTGCCAGCGTGATTGCCCCTAACTGCCCTACCCTGCTGGCCATCTTGTGTCCACAAGGGGGCAGCATCTTGTATGTTGGAGTGATGGTCAATTTGCTTATTACTCTTTTATTAGATAGGATTAGAGGCCTGGTGCACAAATTCAGGTCCCTCAGCCTGGCCTGCAGGGATCGGGCCGAAACTGGCTCTTCAACATCTCCATTTGTGAATTACTATTACAAATCTCAGGACTTCATATACAAATGAACTTACTATTACAAAATAATGATAAGGTAATGCAGACGTTTATTTTTCCATTTTCAACTTAAATAATATTTTAAACACTGGAAGGCTGAACAAAGGGCAGTATATGAAAATCAGAATATAATCTAAAAAACTGATTTTACACTTACTACACATATATTAACTGATGTTAACTTTCCAAAGGGAAACTATCTGACTGAGAAAAAGAGAAAAAAGAAAAGAAAAAAAAAAAAGGCACAGGATATTTTATTTAGGATATTTTCAAGTTAAAGTTAAGTCATAAATAATTGCCAAGTGTTATATATAAAAACATAATATTATTAAGAAACTAAAAATAATTGCTTTTTACTCTTGACACAAATTAAACATTAATGAAATACCTTTAGAACTTAGCAACCAAAAAGTTTAAAAACTTTATTTTGGTAAAAATCTTAAATCATAGTAGTATAAAATAAAGAGGCTATTGTAAAATCATGCTCAATACTTTAGTGTTGCTTCATTGACAAGGACAATGATGGCAACAACAAGTCCTTAATCTCCTCAAATAAATAAAACCATTTTCTATTTTGGATTTCTTCTAATAAAATTCATTAACATTTAACATATTTAATACCAATTAATTGTAGAGAAGTCTGTGCAAGTCTTCATAAATGTAGAATAAGAGTATATTTTTCCTTAAGGCTAAACTAGACAACCTGACATTTATAGTTGGTGATTCCAATATTTTTCTCTCAGCAATCATTAAAACAGGAAGAAAATTAGTAAAGATATGAATCACTTGAAAAACATCATCACTCAATTTGACCTAAAACATTTATAGGACACTGATCCCAATAGAATATATTTTGTTTTCAAGTGTACATAAAATAGTCACCAAGATAACAAATAATAAAGTTAAAATAATAAAAACCATAAAGAGTATGCTCATGTATCATAAAGAAAACAGTAACAAAGATATATCTGAAAAAATGAACCAAAGATCTTGTATGCAATATGCATACATAACCCATGGAAGCAGACAGTGGAGTGGGCTGGAGGGGGTTGATGAGGGGAAAAAAGAGGATATATGTAATATTTTCAACAATAAAAGTTTTAAAAAAAGAGATATATTTGGAAAATCCCCTATTTGCTCAGAGATTAAATAATATAGCTCTAATTAAGCCATCAATTAAAGATAAAATTTCAGAGGAAATTCAAATCATTTTGAATTATAAAATGAAAATATATCAAATACATGAGATGTAGCTAAAGTGGTGCTTAGATGGAAACTTATAGCATTAAATGCTTACATTAGAAAACAAGACATTAAATCAATAATTTAAGCTTCCACATTCAGAAACTAGAAAAAAGCAAAGTAACAAAAAAGGCAAGAAAAACCAAATAATACAGAGTAGAGCAAAAGTCAAGGAAAGCAAAAACAGAAAAACAATGTAGAAAATCAATCAACCCAAAATCTGTTCTCAGGTAGGAATTCTCTTAATTGTAGGCATTAGCAAAATGAGTGGAAATATAAAAAGGCAAACAATAAAGAAGAAGCAGGAGTTGCAAATCCAAGAAGTGGAACAATGGGATAAATATCCTTACTATAAGTGGTATAATCTTATATCCTCTCACTTCTCTCATTTGTAAAAGGGGGTTTTAAAAAAATCACTCATAGGGTGAATGGCAGGGGTTAAGGGAAATATTCATGGAAATATTACTTGGAAAGAATAAAAATAACTATTCTTGTTTGAATTAGTAAGATTGACAAACTGTTACCTAACACATAAATATCACACAACATGTACCATGTCTGACATCAATTAACTGTAAAGAAGTCAGGGCCTTTAAGGACCTTGAAGGTGATGAGAGCAAAAATATTAATAAACTACAAAATATTTTTTGGTGGCAATATTGAAAATCAGGTGGGAAAAATTCATTATATACTAATAAAACCTGGCTTCTTCATAAGTTTTCTCATTAACGAAAAAAGTAAAAAATATAAATGAGGAACTTAAAAAAAAAATACATCCCACTGAAGATATACCTTTTTGCAGATTTTTTCAAAATTGATATCATCACCAAGAGCAGATTTAGTTACTATGTCAGGTTTCAATTCCTGTAAAAAAATAAAACAAAATAATTTTAGTTATAACTCTAATTTTAAACTGTTATTATTATTATTATTATAAATTTCTCCCTGTTTTGCGCTTAAGAAATCTGATGTTAAGTAAATTTTCAACTTTTCAAAGATCACTTCTATCACACAGTAATAAAGGACCATGCTAAGAAAAAATGTCACAGCAAAATGAGTTTAAAAGCTAATCACTCCACAACAAATATATTCTATGAAAGCTAGAACATTCAATGTGCTATAAAATTCCAGGATAAAAACATTTCCTCAATAAAAATATTAATATAACTAAAAATGTTAATTTAAGAATTGTTACATTTACAGAAATTTTTGCTTATTTTAATGACATTGGCAATTTCATCAATTTATAGAGAAATGTAGAGGTTTGTTGAGAAATATCTAATTTTAAATAATTTTTAAAACCTTAATTTATTAATGTTTGAATTGCCAGCATCACTACTCTTGTACTTTTGGGCCATTATTTAGTAAAATAAAGGTCAATTGAATACAAGAACTGTGGTACCATGACAGTCAATCTGATAAACCCAGATGGCTACTAAGTGACTAACAGGTGGGTAACATATACAATGGATACACTGGACAAAGAGATGGTTCACATATGGGTGGGACACAGCAGGACAATGTGGATTGCGCCATGCTACTCATAGAGGTGCACAATTTAAAACTTATGAACTGTTTGAAACTTATTAACTTTCCACTTAATATTTTCAGACTGCAACTGCCTATGGGTAACAGAAACTGAGGAAAAGGGAAGACAACTATACACTAATTCATAACTGTATCATCAGTGGTTTGGGGGAAAGTATGTTTCCAACCAAACTATTTTTTATCAGGCTATGGAGAAGGATACTGTACCAAAATAAAAAGTAAGTTGAAGGCAGTGACCATGTAGACATTTTAAATTTCAACAGGTTCTCATTAAAGTTGGGCTTTTAATTTAATAAAATATAAAACCTAATTGGTAAGATATGTACACATATAATACCTTAATAAAAAAATGAAACAAACAAACAAACCAACAAAAACCCCGTCTATTATGAGGAAAACAGAAGAGAATCCAAAAGGCATCCTTCAAAACACAGGACCAGCACTGTACAGCCAGACACGGCCCGCCATGACAGGAGGCAGGTGAAAAGCTTGGAAAAGACAGACAAGAGAATGAAGGCTGGGTCTCGGTGGGATGCTGGTTCCTGAGAGACAGCACCCAACCCCACAAGCCCCGTCTTTATTTTGTAGCAGATGCCACGAGGCAAAGTAAGGACTTGGTCAAGATGTTTACAGCATTCTCAAGGGTTTCGATCCTACTCCATTACATGCACCTGATCAAACCTGGTTTACTTGCAGCTTATACCACTCAGAACATAGGTTCTAGCTTCCAATTCTAGCTGTTGGGTATAATTGTGCTGGTAGGCACTGCCTTCCAAGCTTGGATATGCACATGCCCAAGAGAGGATGGGCCCTCTCATTAGTCCCAGTCTTGAACCTCTCTCCACACAGCACCCTCCAATCTCGTCAAGGTCATTAAACACAAGGACGACTGGGAGACAATGCACAGAGAGGGCTAAAAGCAGTGCAGGGTTCTGGGTAGATCCTCCAGCAGAAGAAGGTTATGAGTGAAAGACTAGAGAAACACAAGTCTATAGTCCGGTTCAAGCACGGCACCAGCATTCACTTCTTAGCTGTGCCAGTGCCAGGGTTATGGAAGCAGTGAACAACAGGAGAGACTAGCTATGCAGACCTGTGTGCAGGAACCCTGTACTCACTATGCAATTGTGGGAGGAAATCTAGAATTATTCCAAAATAAAAAATAAAAAAATTATTTTTAAAAATGTAATACACACACACACACACACACACACACACACACACACACATATATGAAACCTGCTTATATTTTCCAAAATGTGATGAAACTAAAATATGTTTAGGTTAGGAGGGCTTAATTTCCAATACAAAGAATTACAAGGTGCCAAAAAAAGTCTGGATTCTTAAAGATTTTTTTTTTTTGGAGGCAAGAAATGCATTTCTCTGAAATAAAAAATCAGAAATAACATGTGAGAGAGTTATTGATATCCAAATCTTCATGCTTTCCCCCAGATAGGAACTGCATTATGGTTATCCTTTAGTAACAATAAAAACCTTATTTCCTAAGTATTGTTCTACTGTTTGTTAAATACACTTCTACTAGATGGAACTTCAAGAGGTTACATTTGTCATCATATTCCCAAGAAATTAAAAAACAACAACAAAAACCCCCAATAACCTTTGTCTTCTTCCCTCACCTATTCCTGTGTTCTTCGTTGCAATTAATGGCGTCTCCAGCCTTTGCTGCTCAGATTAAACAGCTCAGGCATCTGATACTGCGTGCCTCTTTGTCATGTTTCTGTTATACTCTCACCCCCTCCTTTCTTTCTTTGCTGTAGTGTCTGTTGAATTTTGTTCCCTCCTTTGGATTACCATTATCTTAACCACAGGCTCAGGACTCCTATACTTTTTCTAGGGGACCACAAATACCATCCATTCAGTGTTACATAGAATCCCTTGAATGATCCTATTCTCCAACCTCAGTATCTTTGGTAAAATGTCTGCTTTAAATTTTTTTATTTGTGAACTGCCTTCCTCTATCTGGCCATCTACCTTTCTCACTCCCTCTCCTCCCTCCAATCAAAAGCTATCCACATTTCAATGCTTGCTTACTAAATACCACCAAAATGAGACAGAACTTCTTAGAAAAAAATGGCTGACCACAGATCGGAGGCAGGAAAAGTATAAGCCCTGCAATATTTTATGACAGAAAAGCATGGACTAATAGGGTTCTCTCAACAAGTCACATACACTAACCTTTGAAGGGATACAACTGGTCAAATTTGGGTGTGATAAAAGAATAATGATAATGACTACATAATTTTTTACTCAAATGAGGATCCATTTGAGAAAGAAAGGAGGCCCTATTAAAAATTATGCTGTTAGGAATGGGAGAATTGCAGGAAAATGTGGTTATGTGGTCACTCTAATTATAACATTTATTAATTCCTCTTATCTCCAAATGCTCTTTATTTTCTCTTAAACCCATTTCATGTAGACTTCTTCTCCAAGTACTCCAACTAACACCATTTTTGTAAAAAAAAAAAAAAAAAAAAAAAAAAAGTCACCAACAATTTCCATGTTGCAAAATCTAATGAACAGATCTCAGTCCTCTTCTTATTCAACTTAGCAGCAGCATCTGACTCTTCCCTTTCTTGGCCTGTTATCACCTTTTCACAGGTTAATTCATTTTTTCTATTTGCTATACTTTCTTTGTATGACTTTCAGGACCCATCCTCTTGGTTTTTCTTCCTTAGCTTCCTTTGCTAGTTCTTCCTCTTCTTTGTAGCTTAATAGTAGACCAGAATTCTGTCGTTGGTACTCATCACCATTATCTAATACTACCTTAGTGATTTTCCTTTAATCTCATGATTTTAAATATCATGTACAAGTTAACAACTCCCCAAGTCTCTTATCTCTAGCCCAATACTGTCTTCTGCACTCATATTAAACTGACTCCTTCACAGCATCATCACTCCTAACCCTTCCTACTCTGCTCTAATTTTCCATAGTATATCATCTACTAACATACTATTATATAATAAAAGGGTAATATGCTAATTAGACTGGAAGTCCTTCCAAGTGTCATTCTGGATGAAACCAGGGCAGGCAGCCAGGGGAAGGAAGGCCTACTCTTGCAGGAATTTTCATGCATGGGCCTCTAGTTACTATATTGTCTTTCACAATTCTTCCCAAATATCAGAACACTGTAAATTTCTGTTTCTCAGGTATATCTTAAGTACCAAGAAAAGCTCATGACATTTGGCAAATCCTTCAAGAATACTTGTTGAAAGAATGGTTACTAAGAATATTTTCATTTATTAGGTAGTATAATTAAATTGTTAAATTGAATACTTCATTTATCTCATATTAGTAGAGCATAAGATAGACCTGCTAGTAAACACTGCCCCTGTTCAGGAACTATTATAGAGAGCACATTTAATAACTATGTCTTTCATTAATTTAATTTTCTAAAGTAAAACAAAATTTTTAATATTGTCATGTTGAGATATGAATCTATATCACTATTAAACCTAATGCAACACTTCATGTAGAGAAAACTAGTAAAATAATCTAAAAATGTTTTGCATTTTCAAATTCTCTGTTCACGTGTCCATCTCATTCATTAGACTATAAGCTTCTAAAAGAAAACATCATATTAATTTCTAAATTTCTATAAACTAACAGAGTACTTGGTAAACAAAGTACAGACCTAACAGATTTTCTTTGAGCTGAAATAAAGTGCTTTGGATGGCTCCAAGATGACATGATAAAAGTATGTGAACTTTTCTGGCAAATTACAGGACTAAATAACATCTGGTAAAACTTTTGTTTTTTGAAACCTACAATACTAACTAAAATAGTAAGAATGATTTCAGCTCTGGTCTAAAGTTACAATGTAACACAGACAATGATGGTGGATAGGGTGTATGATAAATCTCCAAAAGACCTCTGTTCAGGATTTCTCCATACTGAATAGTTTTGACATAATTTTTCAAAATGGCATTGAAGTCAATTGCTATCTTAATATTTCATCTATGCCAGTTACATGGAGTAAAAGACTAAAGAGATTTTAAATTATTTTAAAAATTATTAAACTAGTACCATGTTAAGAACAATGATATTGCATCTTAGTGGTACAAAAACAGTATTAGCCCAACTTGTTAAAATTTTCCGGAAATGATAGAAGTGGCTTTATTCTTTATTCTTATTTGCTTTTATAATTATACCCTTCTACATCTTTAAAGTCATCAATGCTAATTTTACTTCCATAAATTAATTACAGGTGATACTCAACAACATGGTTTTGATCTGCACAGGTTCACGTACAAGCAATTTTCTCAATAATTATGGTCAGCTCTCCACAACCCAGGGTTTTG